CTTTTACTTCTCTGTCTTGAGAAATGTCTGTTCATTTCAGATGCTCTGTGTGGCCTTTTTAAACATGGCCATTTTCCATAGGAGCTGGATGCAGTGGTTTCTAACAGAGGAAAACCAGGGTCTGGATGGAGCTGGGTTTGGGACTTTCTCAGCATTTCGGGGTCCTTAGCAATTCCAGAGAGAACTCCTTGCTCTCAGCACCCCTTAGTTTGGGATGCACCTCCTGGATCCCACAGGTCTGCCTTTGGCTGATGCTGGGTAGGGCTGTGGAGAGCCTAGAGCCTGGCCACCAGGGGCCGCTGTGGTCACACCTGGGGCGTCCTCCGCAGACACCTGAGGGGAAACAGGGACCTGGCCAAAAAACCAAAAACCTTCCTGTGAGTCTGGATAAGCAGGCCCGGAGTTTGTGACTCAGGAAGGACCTCATCCTCAAGGAGACGGGGGGCCTAAACACAACTCCGGAGGATTCAGGATCCAAACCTGTGTGCCCACAGGCAAGGTGCCTTCCCTCTCTGAACCTGTTTCCTCCTCCTGCCACATCTCAAGGGTGAGATGCCCCCTCTTGTGGAGGTTCTGCCCCTCCCTTCATGCAGACCTAGTTCAACCTGGTGGGCAGAGAACAGTTAGGGTGTGGTTGTCTCCGACAAGAGGCCCAGGTCAAGGTTGGGTCTCAGCCCTTGTCTTGCCACAAAACCCACTCCTTATGTTATGGCTGGGGAAGCTGAGGCCCAGAGGAGAAAGAACTCACTCTTTCCCCAGTTGCAACCGAGAGTATTTCCTGAAGTCTTGTTTTTTCCTTGGAATGTTAATAGAAACAAAAACTTCGGTTAAAAGAGTTAGAGAAATGCTTGTGTGCAGGACTTTGCAGAGCCTTTAATATACTAAAGTGATTTGTGCATTTCCAAGAACGGGTATATACAACTATTTCTCAAATTCTTTTAATTACAAAATTATTTTTGTCATCTGATATCTCTCTGTGCCACCCTGGGGAGCCGAATTCCCACCCCCTAAGTTCAACCCGCATGGTACACACAGATGCTCCTTAATGCAAGATGACCTTATATTCTGGCAAATGCATAGCTTGAAAATATATCTTTAAAAATTTTTTATTGTTTGGAACTGGAGATTGAACCCACTGCCTTTCTACTAAGCTACATCCCTAAGACCTTTTTTATTTTTATTTTGAGACAAGGTCTCGCTGTCACTGAGTTGCTCGGGCTGGGCTGACCCTCCTGCCTCAGCCTCCCAGAGTGTGGGGATCACAGGTGTGCGCCACCTGTGTACTCACCACACCGGGACAGGGAGGCCTCTTTAAAAGCACCGCCTGCATGCTGCGCAGGCGCAGTACAGCCGTAGGCAAGCACGCACGCGGGACTGGGGCAGGATCAGAGCTTGGGAATCTGCTCGGAGTTGAGGCTGCGGTTTGGAGCTAGCGGGACTATTCGGAAGTGATTGTCTCAGCTTCCTGGGGGAATCCACGGTCTAAGACAAGGATGTGGGTAGAGAAAACACGAAGCCCCTTGGAAAGGTGAGTGTCCCCCACAGGTCTTTGGGGACCCACTGTGCCTGGGGTGGCAGGTCGGACGCTGTAGTGGGCAGGGACCTCGCGGCTGCTCGGGTGTTGGCAACAGTAAGATGGAGGTGACGTGGGGCGCCCGGGCTTCTGCTTGGGACGGACGGCGGAGGGGCGGTGGCAAGGTGTAGGCCCGGGGCGATTCCTTGGGGAGGGGACGCTGGGCTCAGACAGAGAGGCACAGAGCAGGCGGGATGTTCTCTGGTGGGAGCCTCGCCGCTGCCTTCCCACCCCGCAGGAAGTCGGGGCCCCGAGCTCCAGCCCAGGTTCTGGAGCCAAACGCGCCATCTGGGGGAGGGTTGGAGAGGCCCCGTGTGCTCTGCCTAGCACAGCGGTTCCCAGCTCTGCCTCCGAGCGATCGGCAGGGCCGCGTTTTCTCCCAGGTGCTGCTCCATCCTGCAGCCCTGGTGTGTGACGTTAGGTGGTGATCGCCCATCGCCGAGCCTCAGCTGTAACGAGTGCGCACCTGAGTCTCGTGCGCGCCCGTGAGGGTGAAGGTGTCCGGCAGCCTGGTGTCCCTTCTAGTTGCAGTGCCGCAGACCACTGGTAATTAGGGTAGTGATCCCAGTGGCAACCAGATGTATGAACACAGGGCCGGGCCACAGCCCGATAGGATGGCTACTTGGGAGGGCCCTTTGTAATCAACCACTCAACTCCCAAACGGGGAAACTGAGGCCCAGGGAGACTAGACCCGCCCCGTGCACAGGATCATCAGGTCTTCACAGCGGGGCAGTGGGGCCTCTGCCCAGATCCCCACACCTGGGCACTTGGGTGGCTCAGAGGGCAGGGTGGTGCTTGGATGGCTTCGTGACGGACCCCAGAAAAGCTGAGCCACAGGCCGCTGCAGAGCCCTGAGTGTGCTCCTCCCTAGTGCCCTGCCCGAGGCTCACTCTCGGGGGCGCTGTCTTCCCGGGATGGGCAGGTTCAGCGTGCTCACGGGATTCTGACCCTGGTCTACTTGCTCCAGATGTCCCGATGGGCTTTGGGACGTGAGGGTGTGGGACTGGACGCCGACCCCCGGCTCCCTCTTAACCGTTTCTTGTGGGCGACCCTCTGTAAAATGGGCACGATCTTATTAGTCACCGGGTAGGGTTGTTGTAAGACTTGGCTAAGCAAGGCCAGAAAAGCACTTTGCTAGCTGCTGTTTATGCTAATTAGAAATTGTTTAAGATAGCTCCCCGTGGTCCAACACGTAGCCCTGACTTCCTCAGCAGCAACTGGACTCGTTTGCACCGGGCTGGGGGTGGTGCTCAGCTCACTGACGGATGCAGCGTCTTCCTCCCTGTGGGCAGCAGGGGGCTGCAGCGGAGCTGTCCTGGGAACCAGGCTGTGTGTGCTGCCAGACGCGGGGCCTGGTCTCAGGGAGGTGGACGCCCTCCCCTCTGCCCTGCACCTTAGCGTCAGCTGAGCGGCGGGGGCTCAAGGAACAGGTGGAAGGAACAGGTAGAAGGCCTCCCTTGGACTAGGGGAGCAGAAGGAAGTGCCAGAAGGAAGCAAAGGCAGGGGTGGGAGGTGAGGAATACTCCTGGCTTTCTCTGAACTTGCTGTGACCTTGGGCAGGTCCCTTCACTGCTCTGAGCCTTAGTGCCTTGCTCTCCTAACACCTCATCTTACAAGGGTGTCTGAGGCCATGAGGAAGTACAGCGCCTGAGGCCCGCTGAGCTCCCTGGGGCACGCGGCGCCTGTTGCAGATCTCCAGGCTCCACGTGGGGTGGGTAGGGGTCAGGGGGTGTCCTCAGACAGCACCGCCACTGGAGCCGGGAGCGCCCCACGTACAGAAGCAGCACTGGGAGGGAACAGTGTGGAGAGGCCCCCAGACCACCAGAGGCAGTGGGCCAGTGGCATGTGGAAGGGTCCCTGGCCACGCCAGAGGCACGAGCCCCAGTGTGACGCCAGAACAAAGCACCGCAGTGTCCGGCTCCAGAGAGTGGGGTACTAAGTGCCCAGCACCCGGTGCAGCGGGTGCCTGGGAGTCCTGGGATGTTTTCCTTGGGCCGGGGCCCGCCCAGCAGGTTGGAGGGGAGACAGCCTGCGTTGTCCCCGAGGGAGGCAAGCGAGGAGGATGAAAACAAGCCGACAGCTGAGACACCATCTGTGTTTTCCTCTTTTTTTCTTTCTCTTCATTTTTAAAACAATATAGTGCAGACTGCACTTCTCACAGTAGAATATAATGGTCAATTTTAGTATAAAAAAAAACATTCTCAGAGATTTGTAAATGCACTTAGTGCTTGAACAGGCCTTGGAGAGAGGTACAGTACCGCTCTGGAGCGCCAGGGAAGGGGGCTGGACACAGTGGGGACTTCAGGGCTTGAGGACTTAGGGGGAGCCCACCTCCCCCCCCCCGATGGTGGGGAGGCTGTGGAGGGTGGTTGGCAGGACAAGAGTTGGATGGTTCTCCCAATCCAAACCAATAGGTTGCCCCTCACTGGCTGTCAGCAGGACCCCCCACCTCTACGAAGACAACACAGGGTCCCTCTGAATGGTGTCTTCAGTTTGCAGGCCCATTGTTAACCCCTATGGTGCCTTTGTGCGAATAGGAAAATGGTGCCCCTTCCTCAAGATGCAGAAAATTGTAATAAATATACAAGTCTAGAATGCAAGTGGTATCTCCTCAGACAAGGTGCCTTTGTGCAGTGCACAGTCTGCACAACTGTGCCCAGCAGCTCTATAAAATGTATTGGAGAGAAAGGGGAAGATGTTGGTCCAGGGTATAGAGAATGGGAGTGGGAAGATGGTTCTGTTAGGAAGGAATGGGTTAAGGGGAGAATCTGAGGGAGGAGGAACAGGGACCAGTAGTCCTAGGGCGTCTAGGAGTCTAAGGTCAGAGTGATCTTCACCTGGATTGGTTGATGGGGGACTATTTTGGGCCCAGTGACTTCTTATGGACCCCCTCTGCGTCCTTTTCCAGGGGATTGTGGGGGTGGGGTGGGGGACGCAGCACATGACCCCCCACCCTGGCTTGGTCCCCTCTGGTCGAGACCCAGAAAGGACCATCCCTGTGTGTAAGTGGTTTCTCTCTCCCTGCCCTTGCCAGCCTGGATGGAGGAAGGTGTAGCTATCCCCCGCCCTCCCCAGGCTCTCCCCAGGTCCAGGGGCAGCGGTGAGGGGCGGCTCCTTAGTATGCGAGGTCACCCTACCCCCCTCAAACCGCCGGCAACCTGGCTTCCCGGTGGGCATCCCATGGGCACAGGGCGGGGCTGGGCACCCTGGGAGCCGCCCGCCCTGCTCTGCGGCCCGCGTG